GCAGGTGCTGTGCCACTGAGCTAAATGCCTGGCCCCCTCCTTTCCTTTTGATTTCTTTAAAGAGTTTGAGTAATGTTAGCACTAGGTCTGCCTTGAAGTTTTTATAGATTGCAGCAGTGAATTGATCAGGACCTGGGCTTTTCTTAGTTGGTGGCTTTCTTTTAAACTGCTTTAATTTCATTGCCTATTACTGGGTTATTCAGGATTCTTATATCTTGGTTCAGTTTTGATAATTTATATGTATCTAGCATTATGTCTGTTATGGTTTGTATCTAGATATCCCCCCAAAGCCTCATGCAGTCATGTGGTGGCTAAATCTAGAGTTTGTGATTGATTCATTGTCTAGTTCTGGGATAATGGGTGTGAGTGCTACACCCACCCTTGGGTGGTTAGCCTGCATACAATATAAGGGACAGAAAGAGTCTTCTTGCTTGCTCCTCCCTTTTGCTCTTGTTGCTTTTGCTGCCTTCTCCTGACATGAACTGTCACCCCTCTGCCATGCCATCTTGCCTTGGAGCCAGCCAAGTATGGACTGAAACTTCCACAAACTGAGATAAATAAATCTTTACTTCCTTAATTTTGGGCATTGGATATTTTGTCTCAGGAATAACAGAAAAGTAACCAAGACAATATCCATTTCTTTTGTGAGCTCCAATTTATTGGTGTACAATTTTGTGAAGAAGTTGCTAACAATCTTCTGGATTTTGAAAGTGATTTTATTGTGATTTCTCTTTTTTTCATTTTTAATTGCATTGATTTGAATCTTTCCCTTTTTTGTAAGATTGGCTACGAGTCTGCCTATTTTCTTTATTCTTTCAAAGAACCAGCTCTTATTCATTGATTCTTTATATTGTTTTTTAGTCTCAATTTCATTAATTTTTGCTCTGGTCTTTATAACTGCCTTCCTTGTGCTAGTTTTGGATTTGGATTGTTCTCGCTTTCCTAGGACTTTGAGGTGCATCATTAGGTTATTTATTTGGGTTCACTTTGTTTTGGTGATGTGGCACTTCACAGCTGTAAACTTCCCTTTTAGGACTGTTCTTATCATATTCCATATGTTCCAGTGTGTTGTACTGGTATTATAATTTGATAGTAGGAACTGTCTAATTTCTTCCTTGATTTCTTCTGTGACCCGTTGATTATTCAAGAGGGTATTGTTTAATTTCCGTGTGTTTGTAGAATTTTTGTGGTTTCTTTTGTCATTGATTTCTCATTTCATTGTACTGTGATCTGATAGTACACAGGGATAATTTTGATTCTTTTGCATTTACTTAAGCATGCCTATGTTGTCTGTTTTGGAGAAAATCCCACAAGCTTCTGAGAAGAATGTTCATTCTGTTGTTGGGTGGAACACTGTGTACACATCTGTTATGTCCATTTGTTTGGTACAACTCTGATATTTCTTTGTTGATTGTTTTTGTCTAGTTGATCTAT